GGGAGCATAAATATTTATTATGGTTATTTCATCTTGTTCAATTGTCCCTTTAATCATGAGATAATGTCCATCTTTATCTATTATGCTGGTTTTTGCCTTAAAGTTTATTTGATCAGAGATTAGTACTGTCACTCCTGTTTGTTTTTTATTGCAATTAGCTTGGTATAATTTTTTCCATCCTTTGACTTTTAACTGCTCTGTTTGTTTTGAAGGGTTATTTCCAGATACTTACGGTGGCAAACGATAGAGACAGACCAATGCTCGATGGTCAAGATCTGTTTGTTTAGGGAGGGAGGTAGGACAGCTCACTGTACCCACAACTGCAGGGCAAGGTTTCTGTTGTCACAGAGAACGGGTTTCTAGCTGTGATTGGGAATTGGAATCCAGAAGTCAGGAGAGCTAGCACTAAAAATAAGAAATGCCCAAAATATCATCAGTGCCCACTCAGAGATGGGGTGGCCCCATTTCTTCTTAGAGGGCCAAACAATGGGTAGTTTAGGCTTTGTGGGTCCGGAGCAAAACCAGGTATCATGCAGGTCCCTAGATAAAATCTAAAATGCAACCGCATAGAAGCGTCCGGCTCATTCCCGGCCCGTGGCTGTTGCATAAAGACGGGTGGCTGGCTGGGCTGAGCTTGACCAAGCACACCCCTCGGATATAGTACCCACTTCTCTCACAGACCTGCTCCCACGGACACACCCAGGATGAGGCTCATGCTAAAAGCAGGCCTGTACCTGCTTCCGGTAGGGTGTGATTACACCGATGTCGCTGGCAGACACCTGGCTTGAGAGGCTCCGGGTGAGCAGACAGCAATAGCGCATGACTTGAACAGCTTCAGCGGGGTTGAACCACGAAGGGCTCCGGCCCTCACGTGCCTCGTTGCCCTGCGTTTGTGGGGAGAGAGGAGGAAGGCACACATCACACACATTTGCTTACAAGTGTCTACGGGCCCAGGAGGCAGGGATACAGCTGCCCTCCTTGCATCCTGTCTGGTGGCCCCACCTCTGACCAGCGTGCTGTAGCCACCAGGCTATATGTAGATGGCGCTCACAGTGCGGGGTGCCGGATACCAGGGTTCAGTCCTGGAGTCCGGGTGAGGCATCTCTTGGGGGTGACTCCAAAATCCGACTCTCATTTCCACAGACATCCTTCTCCCTCCCATGGACCCACTCTGAGACGGTGGAGAAGGAGCCTCCTCCCCCCCCCCGAACTGTGCCCTGACCAAGACAGCAGGGCACATTCTGGGTGGCTCCTTGCTGCTCAGGTTTCCAATTGCCCCGTGGAATGCCTCTGTCCCCTCTGTGGAAAGTCTGTTTTGGGAGAAGTCCAGAGGACCCGCTGTGTCCGCCTGCTCCTCCAGCCACATCCACATGTGACCCGTCTCTCAGAGAGCCGACAAGCAGAGACACCACACTCCTGACAGAAGCCGTCTGTCAACCTGTCCTGAGCGGCCAAGTGAGCAGCTGGCCCAGCTTCCTCAGAACATGGCCCCTACCCTGACGCCGTGGAAGATGAGTGGGAATCCCTTCTTGGGTAGCTTCTCCCAGCCCAGCAGGGACGTCACCACCGTGGGGTCTGCACAGACTTCCAGCTCCTTGTGGTAGAAGAGTCTGGAAGGCAGGGCCAGCAGGGCTGAGTGGGACCGGTAGTTTTTCACGAGCTTGGTGACCTGCAAGGAAGAAACACAAGGTTCAGCTTACGGCTCACCTCCTGCTCACTGTGGCTGTGGCCTTGAGGGCTGCCCTGGGACCTACCACTCCCTGGCAGCCAGAGGGGCTTGAGGCACCTGCAGATGGGCACCCTGCTAGGCTGCCTCCTTTTCAGTAGGGAAAAGGGCTGAAAGGGTCTAGCTCATTTTCTTCGAAATGTGCCAGGAAACCCCAGCACATCATATTCAGCTTAGTGTTAATAAGCTCATGCATTCAGATGAAATGGGCTTCCTGCCTTCGAGAAGTTCAGAGAATGCAGCTGCGTGGTTTCCTAACTAGGGAGTGAGTGAGCCTGGAAGCCAGCTTCTGGACTGCGTGTATGCATGTGGGCTCCACCAGATTGGAAGCCAGGTCAGTGGACGCCCAGCCCTGCCTGGAACCAGGACATGCCCTGGGCAGGTGTTCTGCCATTCAGTTGAGTTCCAAAGTCACCTCCCATCTCCCTGCGGTGCCCTCAATGTGCAAGGGTGAAGAGACCCCGCTGCCAGGAGGCGCAGTCTGGTGGCTCCACGCTCTACTCACCAGCAAGGGGTTGTAGGCACCACAGGCCCCGAAGGCATCCTCATCTCTCAGGTACACAGGACGTGCCATCAACCTCTCCAGCATGGACACATTCAGTCCATAGGCCATGGCCAGCCTGGACTTGATGACCGGCCCCAGCTGCATGGGGTCCCCAGCGAGTATAATCTGTGGACACGGTAGTGCCCAGCTCAGGCCAGGACCCCCAACTGCCTGGGCTCAGGGGAGAAGTGTGGGGGAGACCTGCACTGGCTGAATCAGGGCCACCTGTGTACCTGCAGGGGGTGAGGGCTGAGGTGGACAGGGCAGGGGGCCACAACTGGGGCTACCAGTAAGGTGGTAACTGCCTGGCCATGACATGGCCTCCCACAGTGGGGATGGCCTTAGCCTTCCTCCTGGGGCCCCCATCCATTGTGGATTCAACTCTCATCCTGATTCCTATGAACATCTAGTACTCCTGTCCCCCTGGACGGGGACTCTCTTCCCCGGGTCCCACACAGTCTGCCCCCCTAGACTGGGCTGGGCTGGATAGCAGGGTTCAACAGACCCCACATGTAGGGTCCCCACCTTCCTTGCAGTCTGACGATGCTGCCAGACCCTAGCCATAGGACGCATGGTTGCCTCACCTGCCCGTTGGTGTCCAAGATAAATCCCAGGGGGATGAGGCACTCTGGCTCGCTCGCCTGTCCTGCCTCGTCCACAAAGACGTGTGTAAAGTGCCCAACCCTGTAGCCACAGATACTGTCCATGTGATGGTTGTCCACTGCCCCAGCTCCGACTGCTGCTGAGAGCCATGGGCCCCCGTAAGCATCTGAACCCAGCAATTAATTCAGACCCTGGAGTCATGCCTTGAGGCAGTGTGACCTCAGGAGGGACAGCCCCTCTCTGTCCCGATTGGGGATCACCCCCATTCTTGGCCCTATTTCTCCCGATCAGCTCTGACAATCAGTCCCTGTGCCAAGGCATGACCATGACCCTGAATGAGGGGACACATGTCAGGCAGCCCAGGGAGGAGAGCATGTGCTCGGTCGGGGATGGCCTGGGCCAGTATGGTTCTGGTCACCCTCTTCTCATCTCTGCACCCCAGGTGTCCCCCGAACTCTGCCTCAGTGACTTGTGTCTGCCGCCTGCCCGTCAGAGGCCCGCACTCACCTCACCCCGATCTGGTAGAAGAGACCAGCGCTGCTACACGTTGTGATTATGACCCGGAAGCGTGAGGCCTTCCAGATGTCTTCTCCGTCCCTGCAGTAGGGCTTGATAGCACTGATGATCATCTGGGGGGGGCGGGGTTTTCACTGTAAGCGGACAGATGGCCTGCCCCATAGTCCGTCGCTTGTGACCACTAGGTAGTGACTCTGGCTTCTTTGAGGGGCGTTTCACGGTTTCCCAAAGCTCAGCTGGGTTATGAGGGTCTGAGAGCCATGGCCAATGCAGAATCTTGCAGACCCTCATCCTACACGTGCCCGCCCCCCTAACAATTTTCTGGATGCCAACTCTCGTTTAGAGCAAGACTTCCTCTTATAAGTAAACCGCCTGCTTCCCATCTTCCTGCCTACTGGATGGAGTTGATACTCGCAGGACAGAGCAGAACCTCCCCTTAGGGTCTCCAAGGCTGTCGTCTTCATGAGACCATTTGTTTCCCTCAGTGCGGCTCATGGGTTCACACTGCTGATGCTGCTGTTAGCAGCCCAATGCTTAACCCACTGCAACACCAGTGTTCTTTATCCATTTTCCTAAAGGAATTCTCACACTAAGTGATAAAACAAGGGCCAAGCTGAGAGGGCCTCCAAGGGTGCGTTCACATGCATCAGGACAGGAGTGAGGTGTGGCCACACGGCAGTGAGCTCACCTCCTCAAACCTGCAGGTGGCGTTGACCCGGACCATGGCGCCAGGCCGCAGCAGTTGGCTCTCGTGCAGCCGCAGACATACCAGGTCGGCGGCACTGTTGGATGGGGCGCAGACCAGGATCCGACTGTCCGGCAAAGCATGGTACACCTGTGCCAGACACAGAGGGCTGCCAGCCATCCGCCAAAGTGACCGAGCAAAGCAGGTAGCCTGTTGTCAGCATGCATCCAGGGCCCTCGACGGGCTCAGAGGCCCCTGACCACGCATCCACATCCACGCTAGGTGCCCAGCTCATCCACAGCACCATCTTCACGGCCCACACTGAGTACGAGTGGAGACCCAGGGGCGTGTGCGTGAGGGCGATGGGAGTACACACTCATACAACAAACCTGATCACAGGTAATGCACATTTCTCAATGTTTCTCTCTACAGCTCTGATTCTTTAATGTAAACTCGAGTGTCTCGGTGGCAAGCAGGCGTGAGCTGCCGGCCATACCTGCAGCACTGCCTCGATGATGGTCACGGTCTTCCCGGTGCCCGGAGGACCAAAGAGAACGTACGGGAGTGGGCGGCAGTCACCACTCAGGATCCGTTTGACTGCTAACTTCTGATTCTCATTCAGCATTGGATTGAAAAACGCCCTCTCTCTTGCTCTTGGGGCCTCAGCTCCATTTACTGCATTGGAAATGGGAAACCCGTTTTAGTTGGAGAATGAAGGACGCACAGTCCGGGAACCCACTGCTGTTGTGTGGATCCCGACTGCTCCCTAGGGTTCCTGAGACACAATCTGTTCAGGAGCAGAGCCTCCGTTCTCCTGTGGGGCCCATGTTTAACCCACAGCGTCACCAGGGTTCAAGGTGCTGTAGCACAGCCAGCTTTAAAGGTGAAAATACACCCCCCCGAGCCCAGACAGCCATCGTCCCATCACAGCAGTCTGAATCACACTCTGAGCTCCTGGTCCACAGTAGTGGCTCTCCCGGAGCTCTGGTCAGATCAGACCACCAGTCCTCTCTAGACACCGGCTGCTGTGGACACTCACCTCCCAGCCCTTCCTTGTCCTGTGAGGGCATCCCTACTCCCAATGCCCTGAAACTGCTCTGTGCTCACTGGACCCCACCGCAAGGCCACCCTCCCCAGCACGTCCCTCTCCCAGCTCACTGGACTCTGTTGCCAAGGCCACCATTCCCAGCATGTCCTCATCGCTGGCAGGTCGTGCCCTCGCTGTGTGTTTCCTTTGCTCCTTCCTGGTTTTCCTGTGCTAGAAATCATCACACCGAAAACAGTTTGGAGCAAACAAACAAAATCAACCAGGAAAGAGCAATTCCATGTTCACATACTGGCTTAGATACACAAACCCGTGCACTCCTTGTTCTACTGAATCCACAGTTCTGTGATGCCATTTTACACAGGATACAAATACAGAATGTCTGATAAAAAAAAAAAAGTAGACGCTACAACCCAGGAGGGCATACAGTCTGTCTAACAAAACTATTCCGCTTTCCTGTCTGCACCAGGGCAGAGGCTATGTGCCCTGCCCCTGGCTTCCCAGGCACAGCACCCCTAGACACATGCTGCCTCTCAGGGACGACTACTTACTCTATGCAGCAGCACTTCTGGCACACCTGGGAGCCCCGAGGCCCATCTACGGCTCAGTCGATGAGGTTCATGCCTTGAGAACATGTCTGTGTGTGTGTGCAAAGGCAGGTGTGAACCTGTGCTGGACTTGACAGCTGTGTACATGAAGCTGGCTAACCGGAAGAATTCCTACCCAGACTTAAGGGCACCTTGAGTTAAAGCATATGAGAAAATTGCACATCAAGTAAGAAAGTCACCATCAAGGAGTCCGTTCCTTGGTGTCTCTCCTGGCAATGAGGCCCTTCAGATTCCAATGAAATAAGAAGCACACGGATGGTTATCACAGTGAGCTGGTGGGAAAGCCTTGCATGGCCTGCCATCTGCCTCGGCCCTGAGCCAGTTTTGCCTGTTGAGAGAACATCACCCTAGGGTCCACCTTGTCCTCGGACCCACCCAGCAACACTCAAGGTCCACTGTGTAAGTGAAAGGTCCAGCTGGAACTCCTAGGCTAAGTTCTAATCCTGCCCCTCTTAAAAAATGTACACTTCATTCCCCCAGAAGCTTAAAAACTCCCAGAATCCAGATTGGCAGAAGACAGATGAAGGCAGAGGACGTGGGGAGGAGGAGTGTAAGAACTAAAGGGAACAGAGGCCAATGCTGCTGACTGATGGTCCAGGGAGGGGAACTGCAATCACTGAAATGAAGTCTCTACACCGTGTCCCCTCACTGTTGTGTGGTTCGCAGTGCGGGCCTTATCCTGTGGGTCACGGACTCTGGATCCCTCATGTGCCTGACTTAGTTCACTCAGCACCATGCTTTAAGGCTCCATGTTCCAGGTTTAGCATGGGTCAGGACACGGCTCTATTTGTGGCTGAAACGCTGCTGCACTGCAGGACAGGCCACACGTGTTTGCGCATCCCGTGTGAGCAGTGTTGCTCTGGGCACCGTTTACCCTCGTTGACCCATGCGCGGTGCTTTAGGGCATGTACTGAGAACTGTGCTGCTTCCTGGAGTAGCACTGGCCTGCTAACCACAAAGTCGGCAGTTCAAATCCACCAGCTGCTCCTCGGAAACCCTATACAGGGTCATTGACTTGGAATCGACTCAACGGCACTTAAAACTACTAATTGTATGCTTAATTTTTGAGGCACTGCCAAAGTGTTTTCCACATTGGCTGTGACATTTACACCCACCAGTTCTGTACAAGGGTTTCAAGTGCCTGACAGCTGTTATTCCCAGCTGTTGGATGACAGCATCCTAGTTGGTGTGAAGTGGTACCTCACTGAGGCTTGTTCGCACCCCTGGTGACTACTGATGCTGAGCACCTTTTCATCGCGTGGTTGGCCCTGTTGCCTTTCTTTTTTTTTTTTAAATTTAAGGTTTTTATTGTGGATTGACTGAAAGTTTACAGGGCACATCATCAGTTTCACATTCAACAATTCATATAACTTGTTTCATTACATTGATTATAATCCCCTCCATATAC